GTCAATCCTTAAACTTTTTAAAAAGCTAGGCACTGCTGGTTTTAGCAACATTGGGTCAGACGGGAATACACTTCAAATTTGTTGAAGGCTAATTTCAGCAGAGGATTGACACACAAGAGAATGTTTGTGATCCTGAAAATAATTTAAACAATAATCAAAGACCAATGAAAAGATGTACCCACCAAAAAAGCACAATAATTTTTTTTTTGGATAATAGAAAAACAGTATTTTAAAATGTAATAGGTTTTGTTTTTTAATCAGGCTTGTCAGTTATTATCTTTTTCTTCCTTTTTCAGGCAACGTCCAGATCAGTCCCTCGAATCCAACTACCAACACCATCCAAGGTCCAAATAATGTTCTGTATGGAGGCGCTTTGTACTACAACTGTTACAACAAGGATGCTGTTTGTTGTTTCAACCTCACTTCCAAAATTGTTACCACCTTAGATCTACCCAAAGGAACCAGGTTGAGTCACTTAACTCTGTTTTTAAAAATGGTTATTTTGTAATAAAGTTAATAAATACAGTTTTTATTTTTATAACAAGAATAGCAAATACTCTTTTTACTCATATTTTACTCAGTATCAATATTAGTTTTGCAAACACTCTCATGGGAAATATATTCTTTTAAAAAGGAGAAACCATAAAGTACAGGTCTTTAAGAGATAAGCAAACATGACATTTTTTGGTGTAAAACATTCATTTCTGTCCTCTGTTAATCAGGTACAATGCAAAGGGTAACTTCTGCAACCTTGAGGAATGCTACCAATGCACTGACCTGGACCTGGCAACAGATGAGTCTGGCATCTGGGTGGTCTACACCACCACCCAGGACTTTGGCAACTTGGTTCTGTCCAAGGTGGAAGAGGGTGAACCACCAAAGCTCGGACAAACCTGGCACACTTCAGTCTACAAGCAGGCAGTGACCAACACCTTCATGGCCTGCGGCGTCCTCTACGCCACACGTTACGTCAACCAAGAGGTCGAGGAGATCTTTTACTCCTTCAACCCCGTGACGGGACAGGAGAGGTTCAACGTTGGCATCTTCATGAAGAAGTTGGCTCCTAACATTCAAGCCCTGAACTACAGCCCTGTGGACCAGATGCTTCATGCCTACTGTGACTCCTACATGGTCTCTTACAAGGTGCAGTTTGAGTTACTGGATAATCAGTCCTGAAGCTAAATACTGATTCCAGTAATAGTTACTAAAGAATAAAAGCAAGCATTGAATTTCTGAAAAATGACACATACTATACACAATATGCATTATCAATTTATATACTAAACCAATTTACTGTTGTCTCTTTCTTTTTTACTGTTTTCCTTCAATCAATTAAAATCATACACTTCTGGTGTGTTTTTATTCAGTGTTATATTCAGGCTATGTTTCAAAAGTCAGCATGGAGCTACTGGTATAAATTTAGATCAAGTAATTGTATAGGAAGTGTAGAATTTAACTGACATCAGCTTTACAAAAAGGGTAAAGAGCAACTCAGACGTAAAGAGAGATGTGGACAGCTTTGGAAAGCTTGAGCAAATCCACGTCATTGGTATATTATACGACTCCATCAGAAAGTCAGTTCAACTGTCAAACACATCTCACTTCTGAAAATTAGAAATATTTAAAGACCACAAGGTATGGTATTTCCACAATATTTTAAAAAGATGCAATATCCTTCAGCAGACAAGGCCTCAGTGCTGGGTATTGCCTTCTGTACCAGAAATGACTTCTGATATTTTGCCTAATAGTTCCCTCATCTCCAACATCAGTTGGCTGAAACATGTTGACCCTTCTTCTCGCCACCTTCAAAATGTTTGATTTACAAGTTTACAAACTACAAGTTTCTGTTAGATTTGTATTGTTGATTGTCATTTATGCTTAGAAATATCTACTCATATATGCTTAGAGTGTTATAATCAATGTCACGTTGGTAGAGGTTTGATCCTTAATAGTCTGCAAAGGCTTTGTGTACATTCCAGAGTGTTCTGGCATTCACACCTACATCCTGGGAGCATGGGAGAGGTCGTACCTTCTCTTATTGTTTTATGGTAGGATAAACGTAGCTATATCAGTTTTAGGCTAAGTGCCTTTTGTTTAGATGGACCGCTAGACTCCTGGCACCAGCTTTGGGGAGTCTTCACAGGGTCACATCTTGACACCCCCCCCCCTCACACACACACACACACACACACACATGCTTACACAACGCACAGGCAAAATACTCTTTGTGTGTATGTAGACGTCATATGTTAATGAACCTATGTATATTCATGTGAGCTCAATAAAAGGAGTGCTATGGGGAACCTGGCTGAGAGTCTGACGGAGGTCAAGTGGGTGGAGCGACACTTGGCTCCAGGCAGGTCTTTCTCATGCATGAGTAACACAAGAACTTTGCCTACTTGGTGTTCAATGCTTTTGCTGTGTAGTTAAATTGTCTTGTTCCAGCGGTGGGCCTGTGCTAGACAGACCCAACAGTTTCCAAATGTATGTTCACATTATTTTCAAACATTTTAATGAGATGATCTACTTTGAATATTTTATTACTTGCCTACATTGTATGTATCTGGTATATGTTCCCATTACTCAGGTGTACAGTACATAGACTGCTAGTCAAAGCTAGCTTGCGTACAGAGAGCAAGCTTGTATAAGAACAGGCCTCAAACCACACTTTACCCTGTGGCCTCTGGCATCATAAACGCAATATTGCGCACTGGTTATGAAGAGAACCTTGAACCTTGAGCTGCTCTATATTAACCACATTTTTGGTGTCTAAGGGCGTCTCTCTATTAGGCTTCCCATGCACCCAAAACGTGACAGAAAACACCCGAGTCGTCAAATTCTGACATAAAGTCTTTATTTCTCACTTGTTACTTGATCAGTACATTGACAGAGACAGTTTACTTTGTATATGTATTTATATAATATATTTAAACTTTACAGTACACATCTGGATGACAACGAAGTCGGTAAGAGTCCTACTGTTGTGAATAGAAACAAGCTCGGAGGGAAGACTCCCACAATATGAAACGATCCAAATGAGAAAAAAGAACTTATTGCTTAATACAAATTGGTCATAATGGCAGTAAGAAGAGAAATAGTGTTAGCACATGGACCAATAAAATACCAAGAAGAGGTTACACCCTATTATTGTCTTTAAAAAAATCTCCAAGAGAAGAGGAAAAGAAATACATTTTCTCACAATACGGTAATGTTAGAGTGCTCGGTTGGGGTAACCCGCTCTATAAATAAGAAGTATCTACAAGTGCAAGGAGGACCAAGGTCTATACAAACTGATCCAGCGCTAGCTTACAGGACCTGTGGACTTTCACAATTCAACTTCACTATTTAAAGACCTCGAAGAGGAAGGAGCAGATAGGAGATGGGTTTTCATGTACATGGTTAAATGTCAAAGATAAAAGAAATGGAAAACATAGTGAGGATGAGGTGTGGGTTGACAATACTGTACAGCACTTCAAAAAGGGACAAGATACATTCAGGAGCCCCCCCAGGCAGTTTGAGTCATGTAGGAGGATGGCAGAAAATAGCTTAGTGAACAGAAGAAACAGTGAAAATGATCACAAAATCTGCTACATGCAACCTTGAGTTTTTGTGAAGTTGGCCGATGAGGTTCTATAAGAACGTCTTTGATCTGATCCCTGTTTTCTGCGTTTTGAGACCATTACTGAATATTTCAAGCAATTCAACAATCTCTCCAGCTTAAACGAATTCACATTCTTTTCCTTTAACATTCATTCAGCCATGTTTCAGGTCAGAATCTCTCTCTGTGTTTTGGTAATGATCTTTTCCCTTCCTCTTTACACAAATATAGCATTTTCTCATTTTCATTCCCAGCCTGTTGCTATTTAGGGCCCCCTGGTGCTCACAACTATGACTAAAACACTACCGACATCTTAAAAAGTGACTTCAGCTGGTAGCCCTTTAGGGTGCAGCTGGGTTTGCCTGTGAGAGCCGGGGCACCTTGTGATTTTTTTTTTTGTTTTATTTATTTTTTTTAGAGGGAGGGGTTTTCTTTTTTGTTTTTTTTAAGTGGCTGGGGGTTGCCCTACATTCCGAGCTTGGAGCCCAAATGGCGCCAAAAAAGCCCCGCCCCTTACAGGCTGCCTCAGGGAAGTGCACACCTCAACAATTGGTAGCTACGCCCCTTCTGACAGGGGACCAAAGGGTTTTCTTGTAAAACTGAAAGCAGACGAAGGTGACTATGGTACATGAATACTGTACATTAATGAGCTAAAATCCAAGGGAGCCCATCCCTGATCACTATTAAGGTGGTCCAGGATTACAGCAGATTGCAGCACACAGTTGCACTAGTCTAAAACTACACATATATACTCACTATGTTGCACTACACCAGTGAGATCGTGGCTTCACGGCACATCAAAACACCCACTAACCACATAGCAATGGATTCCATCTTGCATGTGAATTTTGTGTATTCCTTTTTTTCCATTACAAAATCCAGCCCACGCAGCTTTCACTTCAGTAGATGTGCAAAAATGTGTGTGTGTGTGTGTTTGTGTGGGTGGGTAGCTTTGGTATATCCACAAAGAGGGGCTGGATGCTGTAACAGAAGGCAAGTTTCTGTGACGTCGACCCAGAAACGAGAGGTTGTCGGGCTGGCCTGGTCCTGCCTCAGCTCCCCTCCCTGGTCAAGTTTGGTTTGAGTCAGGCTGTGATTGTCATCTTAAGAGACCACAAAGAGCTGCCTATGGCGAGAACCACATCCATGCACTACAGCTGCAGGCTAATGAAGGTGTTTGCATCCATGGCTCTATTTAACTAGCCACATGTAAGGTGCTAATGAAGAATGCCCTAATACTAGAAACTAATTACATACTAGAATGCCCTAAGATTACTTTCACATTGACATGCATATACATGTTAATAAATACTTCTTCTATTCTAGTATTATGCAGTGGATTGTCTGAGAAATGTGAGATGACACGCGGCTTAAAGCTGCACTCTGGTGTATTACGCTAATTTAGCTCCAAGCGAAATTTTGGAGCTGATGCATTGTAACGTTCCTGTGCCGGCCCTGCTCATGATGGGAGTGTAAAGGGGCTTTCTGTGAATAAACGATTTTTTAAATGCAATTGAAATTTAAATTCTAGCTTTCTGACAAGTTCCTCGTTAACACAAACAGGTTAATCTGCACTTCAAGCTCATATAGCTACATTAATATTCCTCACTTTGCAAACTATATATAAGTATTTTGCTCGTATGGGTGCATTTTCCACCGTCTTTATTAAGCATTTACATGTTTTGCAGTGTAAGATATTAATAGTTTCAGGCTCACTTGATTTCACAGAAGGTGTTTTTCAAGTGCTTCATAACAACTTTGCTGCTACATTGGCTACGTTGGATTTGATGTTTTTAAATAATTTTTGGCTCATTTGATACCAAACAGCTCGAGATTGTCTTCTCACGCAACATCAAGATGACTCAAAGACGTTAATGTAAATATTATTGTGGCAAAAAGAAAAAGGTAAAGCAGATAAACTGATAAAGCTCCCTGGTGGTGTAGTGGCTTGGTTTTGGTGCGCTTGTGACTGGCGGCCCGTGTGTAATTTCCTGTTTTGAGGTAATGAGCCTCAGAATATGTCTCAGATACTACACATGCAGAAGCACAGACAGCCTGAAAACTAGCTTATTATTTCAAAGTTTGAGCTGTTATAAACCTGGACTATTAATATTTTAATGTAAATGCATCAATGGAGATAAGTCGAAGCATATACTGACAATATCACACTGTTTCAATCTAGTTATAGTTCACCCATTTGAAATAAGGTCTTACCAAGTGCAGCTTTAAAGCAGCGTTGTGAGCTCTAACTATGCTTACAAATCCTCTCTAGCGCTACAGGTGCACTCGGCTACGACATGCTGTGTTCTGCCGTCTGCCTAATTCTGGACACCCCCCCCGCATGATTCTCAAACTTCACAGAGAGAGATGCTCACAATCTGTCACATAAAAACAGAAAACACCCCATAAAAGTACTGCTCTCATCCCAAAGCGTAACATTTTACGCTAGGTGACAAATCGTCAACATATTACGTTTTCGGGCACCCAACACGTTCCTACATGACGACATCGGAAAACTGAGGACCTATGACAACCGTTTGGACTCAATCTACACATGTTTACTCTTCTCCTTCAAATCGCTTGGGAAAACACTATTTAACGTCATTAAAGTGGTGGTTAAGCTTAGGAACAAGGTTATGGTTAGGGTTAGGGAGAAGGTTAGATTTAGGGCTGGAATACAGGGCTGGAACGTCTATTACCGCGGGACCGTCATTCCACTGGATTTCTGCCATAACCCAGCGCGTACCATAAGAACGCGGAAGGTCACCTTTCGCGTTCCTCAGGAATGCCACGGGACGTGACAAAACGTCGGGATATTACACCTCGGGAGTGAGAACGGTCTGGCTCTCATTGCTATGTCCTGCACTTTTACCAGCTCGTACCAGATTTCATCACTAGCTGTTTACAGCATATTTCTGTATGGACTGTTGACAGAATTACTGTTTTGTGTGTTTGGGGGGTGGGAGGTTAGAAAGGGTGCACGCAAAGAATGAGGCCACACTCAGCAAACACAAGAATGACACTTCAAGAGTAAATGCTAAATCATTGAGTGGTGGGAGAAAGGAAATTGAGGTGGATATTTAAATGTGTTTAGGGTGTTAAAGTAGCGTTACATATGGAATTTTACAGTGGAGGAGGGAAGAAAATGGCAGACACAGGGATAAGGAGGACGTAGATGAAGACAAAGAGAGCTGTCTTCAAATATTACTATCCCTCTCCATCAAGCCTGACTACCTCTCTCACACCTTCAATTCCACCTCTTGTTTGCACAGCCCGCCTCACTGTTTCTCTCTCCATCCCTCTACTTCCTCCCTCCCTCTTTCTTCCTGTGGTTTCTCAGCAGGACACCTCCATGGTATGGGTGACTGCGCCGACTCCCTCAGTGCTGTCCGAGTGGGTGCAGGCTCGTGAGCGGGATCCCTCCACGGAGCCGCCGCTGGTCAGGGAAGCCGTCCTGGAGCGAGCTAGGCGGGTCATACTGGCTGAGGGCACTGGGAGAAATTTCAACATGTCAAATTTCTTACATTTTTGAAAAAATAAATAAAAAAGTGCAATCAGTAGATGTTGGGGGGATGTAGGGAGCACATGCTAATGTGGATAACTGAAGAATATGTTTCTTCATAGCAGGTGAGAAAAGGCAGCTGACTGGCTCATACAACAGTCATGAATTGTTAGGCTTGTTAATTAAAGCTGTTAATGTGTCTACCTGGAGACACATTGGCAGCACCATGTACTCAGTCTGTGATATAATAAGCTCAGTTGTTCTCATGGGAACAGACTATGATTAGTGTGGAACTGGGTTTGTTTAGTCATTATTAAATGACTGTACTGAAGAAAGATAACAAGTTGAGCAAAGACAGTTTTGGATTTCCTTAGAGTAATCAGGATTAAGTTAACCTGTATTCACACTTCACTGACTTATTATGGCTCCTTCAGGAAGGTGAAACAACCCAGAAAAGCATCCCTGACAGTTTTAACACCACACACGTTAGCCTACAGTTTTTCACTTACACAGTCAGTAGACAAAGACCAACATCAGGAGCCTGTTTTCAGTCAATTTGCACATTAAAGTTTAATATTTCTTCTTTGACCTCCATTATTACCTGAGTATTTTGTTTTGCTTCCCACTGAAAATAAAACTAAAATTTGCTGATAGGAAAAATGAGCAAAAATCCATAATTTGTAATAAATTGGAATGCAAAGGTAACCCTGGGATATTTGAATATCAAAGCTGAGTTTTAAATAAGGTCAGAAAATCATGGCTATGTGCAGAAAAACACTCAAAGCTCTGGACTTAAAATTCTCCTATCAGGTAAGCTATGCTTTTTAAAATCTTCTAAACAAAGTTCAGTTCATTTCATTCCATCTTTCTGTGATACAAGGGAAAAAAATTTTTTTAACCAGTGTAACTAAAAACAACTTGCTTTTGTCAACAGTTTATTTACGTTTTTTAAAGACATGGTGAATTATTGTTAACTTAGTCTGAAAGTCTTTGCTCAAAGCTAGCTGAACGCCATGCAAAGAGCAGGACTGGAGATGCAATGGTAAAGGAATGGGGGGAGTGGAAGTAAGGGCAGTATATTTTTCCATTGGAGGAAAAATTATATTTGATAAAACAAAGATGGGGGGTTAATGTCCTCAGGATAAAAGAAACTCCAAAAATGAGAGCAAAAGTAAAAATAAAATAACCATAATAATAATAATAATAATTGCAGCCCAAAATATTATATTCACAACCAAATGAAATTCAAAAGAAATTCTAAAATGCCACAGTCATTGAATAGGGCAATAACAGGTCAGAGGTGAACGGGGAGGAGGAAGTACCTGGCCCTCCACTCAACCTCCGATCCTTCACATTAGCGACTGAAAGAACGGGGCAAGGAAGACAGAGGGCAAGATTAATATTGGTCATAACCCTCTGCATAAAATACATCATAGCACACTCACTCGACACTACAAAATTTACCTAAAAGTCAATTTTAAAAATAAAACAAAAAACACTGAATCCCACTCTGTCTCACTAACTATGGTGGTTTGGAGACTTACTGTAGCCCATCCCCTGCAGGAAATACTTGAAGGCTTCTGTCAGTTTGCCGGGCTGGAAAAAAACACATCAGAGTTTTTATTCCACTCAATTCTGAGCAAACAGTGTCTTAAATGTGGATGGTGAGTTCGTGCTCTGTGGTGTTTTTATTTGTTTGTGTAGCATCTTCATGATGCAAAGTGGTTTGTTTGTGTTACCTGTGTGAGCTGGGGCATTCCACCAGAGTCAGCCATCTGCCACGGGAGGAGACAGCAGCCATCAGCCAACTAGCATATGATCAATCAACCATCTCTGTCTGCTATCTGTGGTGGAATATGACAGATCTATCTATCTATCTATCTATCTATCTATCTATCTATCTATCTATCTATCTATCTATCTATCTATCTATCTATCTATCTATCTATCTATCTATCTGTCTGTCTATCTATCTATCTATCTATCTATCTATCTATCTATCTATCTGTCTGTTTGGTGTCTTTGGTGGTCTATCATCAAGGTAAACAATGTCTATGTTATTATTTTTCTTGTATTTTCTTCTTTATGAAACATTCTGTCAGAATATATCGACCCAAGTATTTCTAAAGCTATTACCAGTATTTCTTGTTTGTGAATATGTTCATAAATGTGTTCAGATTTATTATTCAACTTCTACACACTGAATTACTTCCAATGTAGAGTAATTAAGAAATAGCTATTTAGGATGTTTACCAAAATTAAACATATTTCTTTGAACAACACAACACTAAAGTAAAAAGGGTCAAAATAGCTTTTTAGAAAATTACTGAAAACTGAAACAAGTTGTTTTATTGCTGATGATCACACGTCTACTTTTC